GAGATGTATCAGTATTGTACAGGACATGTTACGAACACACCTATGCCAGGGTTTACAGTGCATTGTGCCAATGCGAGGTTCTAACTTATTGAAAGTTGCTGTCAGTGTCTTTTGTCATCAATATATAGGTCTCATCTGAGAAAGAAGTGCTGCGCAGAGAGGTTGCAGAGATGTGTGACCGTGTGCAGCTATTAGAAAAAGCTTCGAGACAGCTTGAGGTGGATAATGAAAGACTTGCCTTTAAGGTGAATATGGATGTAGTTGTTTGTATATTTCCCATTATTGTAATAGCATTAGTATGAACATATATATTATTGGGCGTGCATACCTTGATACATTATTTCATCTTGAATATCCTTATTTTCTGGTAAGTAGTGCATATTAATATAGAGCTGGGGTAGCTCAGTCAGTTTAGACTCGGACAACAGACTGGATGACCAGGGTTTGATCCCAGGCAGGAGGAAAGGATTTTTCTTCTGGCTTCTGCATCCAGACTGGCTCTGGGGCTAACCTAGTTTTCTACCCAATGGGTACTGGGAGTCCTTTTCCCATGGATAAGAGCAGTTGGGGCATGACACTGACCACCCCCACCAAGTGCAAAGGTCAAGAATGAGTAAGAGCTGCCCCCCCCCCTCCCCCTCCCCAAGCAGCTCAATGAGGTGTAGCTGGACAGCTTTACTAATTCTGGTGCATATAATTAGGTGACCAGGTCATCTTTATAATAAATGACTTCAAGAATTTCTGATGAAAATTATGATTTCTTTTGTGTGCGCGCTCTTCATTGTAGCTTCACTCATTGTGAAGAAAAGTTTAAGAAAGGAATTAATGTGAAAAAAGTTCAGGAGTAGTTTTTATATGTGTTTTTAATTAATTTATACCAACCTTTCATATTCAGATTGCAGAACAAAATTGTAGTAGGGCTCTATAGATAGTAATTAGAGCCTTAGAAATGTGGTAGGGTTCAAATATTTGTATGTAGCAGAATTATATCAAAATTGTATGAAGAAATTAAGAGCCAATTAAAGTTGGGGCACATACTTCGGAATATTTGGTATTCCTGTCTTGTAGCAAAAACATGAACATTAAAATATACAAAACTATAATTTTACCTGTTTTATTGTATGGGTCTGAAGTTTAGTCACTTACTTTGAAGGTAATACATGCTGAGAGTGTTTAAGAGAAGGCTGCTTACAGGAATATTTTGATCTAACAGGTATGAAATGAGAGCAGGATGGAGAAGAAATACATAACAAGCTTCATAATTTGTACCTTTTACTAAATATTAGTAAAATGATGAAGTCAAGGCACATAAGACTGGTGTGGCGAGTAGAATGCATGAAGATTTTCTGCTGTATTAAAAATACCTCGAGTTACAAAGTTCTCCATTTCTTATATTTCCTTTTTGGAATATAAAATGGATGTATGTTAACAAATGCTTCATTCAAAAGTCATATTGTGTAGAAGTTCTAAATTTTAGCATCGGGACTGCCTGACATGAAATGAGATAGTAACAAATTTCATATAGAGTGGAGGTAGTAATAAAACTGCAAGTTAAAATTAGCTATTTCCACATGTTTTAGATTTCAGTTCCTGTACATTGTTTAATCCACCTCACATGTGCGTAAGAATAGTAGTGATGCAAGTAAACATGTCACACCCTTCTGTAGATTTTGAAATGTTAACCCTTGCAAGTTGTAACTGAATGCCAGTGGCTTAATTATTATTTGTTTTTCTCCACAAACTTCAGTTATCAGAAGCATTGGCTGAACTTGAAGAAAGGGAATCACAGTTAAAACATTTAGGTCTGTGTGAGTAATGTAATTTTATTAATGTGTCATATACAAAGCACATACAGTTGTTGTTTATTTTTTATTTTTATGCGAAGTATAGTTATGTTTTATTCTGCATGTCTGCATATTTATAATCTTCACTTTTTTAATATTTATAATCAGCACTTGTCTAATATTTGGAGACAGTATGGAGTGTTTGCAGTATATATGAAACAGTTTTTTAGTTGGTTCTTTTGTGTCGCACAATTGAGGCACATGTTTTATTACATTTTGGCATGAACCAATGGGTACAGGAGAATCAGAGCACGTAGATAATGAGGGTCTTGGTGCATGACACCTCACAGTTTGCATGTTTGTTTTATATCTTAATGGTTTGTGGGTTAAATGCTACATAATGGATTCTGTGTGACATTTCTTGGTCATCCCAAGTAAGTACAGGCTTGGTACCTAGAAACATATACAGAACAATCCTAAAGAACTTTCATATGAATTGTATTTGGTGGAACATTTTCTGCAGTCAGAAAATCGCTGCTTGCCATTTATTCCGCATTGACATAGTCTCCTTATACTGTGCCATTTTCACAATGAGAATGCTGTGTTGGATATTGTTCATTGTCTTAGGTGTATTTGATATGTATTGGATGTATAACATAAGTAGTTATAACTAATACCTTTTTGGGCCACCCCAGTGGTTCAGTGTTTGGTATACTGGCCTAACATTTAAAAGGTGTCAGATTGAAACCTAGACATTGTTACAAATAATACAAAAAAAAAGTGTCAGTATGACAGTCACCTGTGTGTAGGAGTAGAATCTGCTACTGAAACACCAGTGAAAATCGAATATATCTCAGACAATGAACAATGTCCAATATTATTGTTCCTGCAATGAATCATCTGCTATCACAAATCTTTAGAGATCCATCATTTTCACAGTTGGACATCTAGAAACAGAAATATGAAGTTTCACACAGAATTGTGGGAAAATAAAATTAAATGATGCAGTTTATTTGACACTGCGATGTTGGTTTGTTTCTTGAAAATATTGGGAGCATCACTTTTTAGACTGTCCTTGTATTTTAACTCTATATTGAGCATGAAGAATTCTATAGTAAGAACATGCAGTTGGTATTGTGTTTACCCCACAGACCTCTGAAATAGACTATTTCATGTGGTATTTGCAGTTGTCAAATAATACAGATTACTTTGGTATGTTATATGTTCCTATGACCTATTTTCAGTGTCACTGATAGCAAAGAATCTCAGTAATTGATGTGTTACATATTGTAGATACCAATCACTCTGCATGTTACAGTGAATGGAGGTGACCATGTAATGCACTCTGGTCTAAACTTCCTGTGGACAGGGTTCCGTCCTGGTGACTCTCCACGACCTGTCTGCAGGAGAAGCCTGTCTCTCCAGCAGAGAGGAGACTCTCCTAGGAACAGTTTAAAACGAAGCAGCTCACCTTGGTCCACGGCGAAGAAGCATGTGAAGTGAGTGCCAGAATGACTGTACCTGGTCCAGGGCTGAGGAGTGAAGTCTAATTCTATGCGAAATAGAAATAAAGTTAAGAATTTGCACATTTAGATCAAATATGGATTTATGAAAAACAAAAAAGGTATGAGGGACTTTTCAATTACTATGCACCCATGACTTCAAATTCTGTGCTCTAAAATTTTGATAAACAGAAAACTTAATTCCCCCCTTGCGTTTTTAAGTACCTTTAATCTGTTGGTTTGTTGGTTGATTGATTGACTATTGATTGATTTGTGGGTTTAAATTTGATTCTGTATCATTTGTCATTTATAGCTGACAGCACATTTAAACAAATCAAAATTTGAAACTTAACTTTATTATTCTAACCTAATAGGAATAAGGTAGATTTATTAAAGTTGAGTCGTTCCTTTGCCAGTGAGCCAGTTAAGATGTTCCCACAAGGCTCTTTGAATAATGGTAGCATTGAACTGGAGTGTGTGACACATGAGAAGACAGACAGTCAGGAGGAAACAGGTACTCAGACTGAGACTGAGCAGGAGGACAAGGAGACTGAGCTTCAGAAGTCGCTGTCATTTGGGGACAAGGATGTTGATGCCAAGTCTCACAGTCTTGGGTAAGTTTGATAGTATGCACTCTTTTCATGATTACCTTAGTCACTTGTATTCTTTTAATATCCAGTTTTCATCTCATAATTTCTTCTGTTGGGTTAAACTCACATTCCAGTGCTTATGCGTGGGTCACCAAAGAATTTGTTCAAATCTTATGCTTGTTTTTTAGATACAGAAGAATGAAAGGTGAAGGGTTGTTGTATTTATGGCAGACTTTCAAGCTGGAGGACTGCCTTTTTTTGGCTGTACACTAAGTAACTCCATGGAGCAGAGTCCTTGAGAAGCTAATATAGTACACTCAGCTAGTTAAAAAATCCTCCGCCCTTTACCAAATTTGTATGTTCACATTTCTTGTCTTCCCCATGAAAATGACACTGTGTTTCTGTTAAATATTGGAATCTACCTATAAGTCTACATGGCACTAGAACCCAGAAGAACATAATCATCCTCATTGCCATAAAAAACTCATATATATTAAAGTAGTGTCTAAACTTCTGAGAAAAATTTATCTTCAGTCTTTAACAATGGCTACATGGGAAAATACTGGGATGATACTTTAATAGACAGTGACCTTTTGTGTTATTAATCATAAAGTATGTTTGTTCATTTATGTTGGTTATTTAATAACGGGTGAACATGTATCTTTTGATAGTATTTGTATTTTGATATTTGCTTGCTTACAAACTCTAATACAGCTCTTGCATCATACTTTAATTCTCATTGTTTGTTGGTTTGTTCCTAGCGCTGATTCTACTCCACCCAGCCTGTTACTTAGCGGATTTAGCTCACCGAAGAAACTGTCCAGTCTTCTAGATTCACAGATAGCTGCATCAAGGAGTGAGCTTGTCAGACTGGAGGAAACCAAGAAATTGCAGGTACTCCGTTGATGTATTTAGTGATTTAAACTCATAGCATCATAACTTAGAAGACAAATATGACATCTTCACTGCCATGAGAATCTCAGATCTCTTACATGTGTCTTTGACATACAGTATCATATTGTTACATGTCAGTGCTTTGCTTTAAGCATCTGTGCAGTCTGGGAGCATATGACTTCCTTCGTGAACAACATGGACTCTAAGGCAATGTCCTACGTAAGCGATAACAATCAAGCTACCCGAGCTGCATAAGCAGCCTGGGGTGTCATATGAAGCGGGGAATCACTTGTGTCCTACGTGAGAGACCGCAATAGAAGCACACGGCCTTCCTGCGCATGCACCTTCCCTGTACCGCATGGTCAGAGCTTTCTTGCACATGCGCCTTACTGGCCAGCACAGTGATTCTCGCGAAAATATCAAAATATTTGATCTCGGACTTTGGCCGCTTCCCTTCCCTGACCACTTCGCTGGAACCTAGGACGGCGCCACACAAACAGCTAGTTTGATATTTCTGCTTCACCCATGCAACTCGCACCGTTCGCATTTAATCTCTCATGTAGGACAGCGGGTAAGAGCACTAATGATGACATGTTTAATTCCAGGTTATGACATCATGTGTTCTCTCTTTATTTCAGTCAGAGTGTGAGAACTTGAAAGGACAGTTATCTGCATTGAGTGAAAAGTACAATGCTCTAGCACTGAGACACATTCAGTATAAATCTAAACGCAAAGCTCAAGTGGAAGATCTCAGGTACCAATACATAATGTTGCATCGTCTTTTTTAGCGAAGTTTTAATGCTGTTAATTTAAAAATACATTTCACATATACACAGTTAGGACTGACATAAGGAACAATGACATTTTGTTGTTGGACTTTGAATTGTTATTACAGTACACTTGAATAGTGCAGAATAAGATTTCTTCTGTGTGCACTGATACATTTTAAAGAAAAATAATTTTGTTACCCTGCTTGTTTTATATACAATACTTTGGCACAAACACAACCTTTTCTTTCCATCACTTCATGCTAGCCTGTTTTAGGTCTACATATTGCTTTGTAGTGAAACTTGAATGTAGTAGTTATTGAAGTTTGAAGGTTTCTGACAATGATGCATTTCATTGTGTTAAATTGTTCTCTTGAAGTTTTTCCATCATCTGATATGTAGTAACATGACTTGTTTTTATTTATTGTACCAGGAATAGGTTGGATGTTGAATTAAGTTCTTTGCAGTGTCAAGTGGAGAATTTACAATCACAGTTGACTGTGCAGAAAAAAATGCTTATTACGGAGGAGAATTTCAGAGAAAGAGTGGAAGCTGACTACAGACAAGTACAGGAGGAGAAGAGAACTCTGTTGGTGAAGTAAGTGGTTCCTTTCATCCATGTCTGATGCTGGCAAAACTATTCTCATCCTTGCTTTTGACTGCAGCTGAATACCGGGTGTGATAAAAAAAAATTCCAAGCTGAAATTCTTCCTTTGTACTTAATGATGATTTGTTAGTGTCCTAGATCTAGGGAGTACAGAGGTGACAACAGTTATACAGTTTCTGGTCAGAAATCTTTATGCAGGAATACAAAGTACACCATTCATATCTTTGTTGAGGACCCCAGAACAAAAGAAAAACAATTTATTTTGCTTAAAGCAGGGTTTAGCAACTTTTTGTGTTTGTTACATTGGCTGTCACTACCTTTGTCAAGGGCCACAGAAGAAAAATTAATCTTGTGAACATTAAATTAAACTGTTTCTTTAACTTAACTGAGTATAGCTGGTATTCACTTGTAAACAGGTAATAGCTGTATTTCTCCACACCACCAAGTTTATTGTAAGTAAACTGTTTCTTAACTCTTAAACAGTTCTGATTTCAAATCACTGTTAAATTTATAAAACATAAGTTATTAATACCACAGTAATTTTCATAAATATCATATTGTTTGATCAATGGAACAGTTTGCCTTTCTTCAGTTAACAAGGGCGAGGCATCAAACAAAATCTGCAGGGGGCACAAATATAATTTTTTTACAATTCACATTTTGTGTTAACTTTCCTTTGAATAATAGTCAACAGCTCAACCACAATATTAAGCTTGTAATTACAATACGCTGTGTGTGTTTTTTGTAACATTTCTGTACCTTGTTTTTTATTTTACTGACAATACGTAAAAAGATGCAAGCATTTTTGTTGCTGAAAAACAATTTTCTTTTCAGTCTTATGCGTTCAGAGGCTTCAATGCGTGAGAAGAATAGAGAGTTGTCTATACTTGGGAAGAAGATAACACTTTTGGAGAATGCTAACTCAGACCTTCTTACCAAGGTACTGCAGCTCAAATATGCTTCAGGGCGACAGCATGGAGCTGTTCCAAAAAGCAACAGCATTGAGGGTGTGCTGACAGATTTTGGTGCATTGTAGGCTTAGTAACATGTAGGTCTTCTACCATAATCCTTTAATTCAGAGAAATAGACATGACCAAATGCATCTTCTTCTTCTTTTTCTTCTATGGCTCTCCAGTCCGTATTCGATCCATGACCTTCTCAATTCTCCTCTTCCATTAGGTCCGTTTGTCCGAGGCTTTGATTGAGGTTTCGAAACATCTTCATTTCTACTCTGTATTAATATGAGTACATAAACATCTTACACAGATTCTGATCTGGGTTTTGGGTGATGGCACCTGTACACCATGGCCAGCTTATCTGAGACCCCAGAAAATATGTGAACTCTGGGTGGAGACTCCACTTCCATGTCTGCTTTTGATGAAAATGTCTTCATCCACTTCTAAGCCATGCTGTCTCTCATCACTTTATAATTACACTTGTTCAAAATTAAGTATAATGAATTCTTCTTGGGCTACCAGCTGTGTCATGTGGTTGAATGGTGGAAAAACCAATATTTTTTTATTAATCGTCTGGTAGCATTGAAGAATTCATTATAGTTAACTTTAGTTATAGTTGAGCCATTTCATTTAATTGTATTCATTACTGTTGATTTCCATGGTGTTTTATAAGCTTTCTTCTAATCAACTGTATTTCTCTGAAATTAAAGGATTTTGGGGTTGAAAGGCAATGTGGGAACCTGGATGCATTGCGAGTGATATTCCCAGATAAACGCAAGTGGCAGACATCAAAAGGTAAAAGCAATAAGAGCAGGCTATATATTTCTTCATACACGTAGGTTTTAGTAATGAAATACTGTCATGAATATGATGAAACTAGAAAAGTATTTTTCTGGTCAATAGTATTGTTATTTCTGAGCATTTTGTCATTTTAAATGATAAATGAATGTTCTCTTGTCATATCTTTTCTGCTAATGTAGTGTTAGTTGCATAAGGTTAAAAGTTCTGGTGATGTTAACTTTGTAACATCTATTGATCTCACTTCTCTGCTTGAATCTTGGTCTCACTTCTAGTCAGCATAATCTTGTGTATAATGTGATATATTGAGTATATTAAAAAAACACTTGAAATCTGTGCTCAGAAAAGTTGTGGCTGCAGATTTTGCAGACCTTAACCTTTGTCATATGAGAATAGGGAATTTAAACCCCTGTTGTATTGGGCTGCTGGCAGGACTTCAACTTTGGGGTTAATGCCTTTGTGGTATGCACAGTAAGCTGGATCATGAATAAGCTCTGATGTCTGGATGATAAAGGTTAAAGTACATGTTAAAAACACATTCCAATATGGTATATTTGGGAAAATGTAGTTAAAAGATACTTAAAGTAATATAAAGGTACATCTGTTTGTTCCAGTAGGAACACTCCTGCTTTCCCAGAGTGCAATGTGTTTTTAACAGGTATATTAGCAGCAGTCAGCTTTTCAAAGTCTCCGTGATGTTGTGCCATCATTTCGTGTATAAAAATACCAACCCTATCAGGTAGGTGTGATCTGTATATTCCTATTGAGTGAAGAAATTTAGTTTTGTAAGTGAAAGAGAATTTCATGTCTGTTTTAGTTTAAGGTTTTTCATAAGTCCAATAATTGTGACTTCCATCTGTAGTCCATTGCAGAATATATAATTTTGTTGCGAGAAATATTAATGTAGCTGGAAATGGCCGGTAAGATACTGTCATCAATTTATTGGTCATCTGCATTCCATTATTGTTATTGTTATGAAACTGTCTCTGGAACTGCAGCTGATAGCAAGACCATATCCACTCTATAGTAGTGATTTTGACTTATGCTCATTGTGGATTGGTTTATTTGACAGTATAGCAAAGCAGGTATTCACTGATCAAGTAACATTCTGCATGGCAATTTAATTCTGCTGTTACATGTGCACACTGCTCATATTGTGTATGCAAGGGATAAATATTATTTTGGTGAGATACAGAATAGTTCATACACAGCATGTATGAGGTAAAGGTATTGATAGCATCATTGAGCTAACAAGAATAAAGTAATATCTACAGTGTTAATTTGAATGATTCAAATAGTACATATTGAAACCCTATGTGACAGTGATTTGAATTGTCTTTTAATCATGCAACTCTGTTTTGTTGTGTGACATTCTGATAGTATTGGTTTCCTATGTTTAGTGCATGTATGATATTGAACTGACTAGAAATTTATCTGTTAATCATTCAGTCATTGAATGTGTGTGTGCATGATAGCTATTGATTTTGCTGTTACACAATGAAACTAATTGTTGTGATGCAGTTCTGGGAGCTAATTGGAAGCTATTACTCTCTCTTAATATAACCTGCCACCATGACTGAAATATGTAAAACAGTAGTAGCTTCTTTTGTCCCCTACAATGTATATGCCAAATGTGTTGACAGATTTATGTCAATCCTGTTATGAATGTAAAATTGTCTTATCACATTATCTGATAGTAGATATCAGAGGTGTAAAAGTATGCATCAGTCCTCAACACAAATTAACTTGTCTGTTGGATAAATCATTTGTAACTTAGTGAAAAACTCTTCTATCTTTTCCCATAGGATATCAGGCTGGTTATATTTTTATTTGTGTGGAGCATAACCTACTTTTTTAGTTATGGTTTGAGCAGACTGCAGACCATTTACAATTTTTCACTGCCCCAATTTTGATATATTTATTTTATCTGTGTCATTTGACTCCGTCCAGTGATCATGCTGTTCGGGCAGATTATTTGTGAAGTTGTGAATGAGAAGACAAGTGTTGTCACTCTACTCTTTTTTCCCTAGACTTTTCACAGTACATTGTGCAACAAGTGCTATAAATTAAATGTGTTAAGGGTGGAAGTGAAAGATTGATGGGTTGTGCAGAATGATGTTTATGCATGTACATGCTACTACAAATGAAGTCTTCTTTCCCATAGCTATGACATGTAAATAAGTCTTTAAGTCACATGTTTGGATAGTTCAGTAAAACAAATTGGCATAATTTCCATTTCTGTCTTTTATTATGCTTATATGAACAGGTGTGTAAGTCATGGCCAGAATCATAAAATTATACTTTAGTTCGGTATTATTTGAGTTAAACCACATTACAGATGTAGGAACATTATTTAATTGTTTAAGATATTTTTAAACATTGTATGTCATCATGGTTGTGGTTTAAGGCACCAAAAAGTTTGACCATTTACTTTTATAATGTGCCAAAGAAATCTGAAACATTGTTAAAGTCCACTTTTTAAAACTCATAAATATTATGGTCTGTAAATATTGTTAGAAAGTTCTCATTGTCAGGGATAAAGTATATTTGTGAAAATATTGATAGCCAGATATATACATCATAATAAAATAAACTCTTATGGAATATTTTTGTGTAACGTTTTTAAGGTGTTGTCCTTACATTTTAAGTGTACCTTTCTGGTTATACCTGAAGGAAGGGGGTTGCCATTTAGGATTCCTTGAAATGGATGCAGAGGTAGAAGTGGAATGATTTGTCTTGTAATTTCAGATTTTAAGTCATTGTTAAATATGCAGGATGTTAAATGTTACCTCAACCAAGGAAAATGTCCAAGAGAGTGACTAAAATTAAGTTGAGAACAACAGGTTACTAAAGAAGGTACAGAAGAAACTGAGGAGTTGTGATGAATAATGTTAGAAAACAAATTGATTTGGAGAACATGAATTGAACATTCAAGGAAATAACTACTGAAAGTTTCAGAACACAATATGCTTAATTAATTTTGGAAGATGTAATTTGGAAAGTATCAAACACAAATCTAAAACTCATGAGGAATGAATTAAGGAAAGAATATAATATACAGCAAACAACACCTACTACTGCTGTATTAAATACCATGACAAAGGATTCGTATCTTCTCTACAGTATTAATTTCAATTCAATTTTCACTATTGCTGTTTTCTGTGGAGGCATATTTTTGATCTAGTTTGAAACGTCTCATTTCTTGAAGATTTTGTGTGGATAGTCTAAAACGATAAAAGTTTTTTATACCTCATCTAATACCACTTCAATAAAACAAAGGGTACCATATTTTTATATCACTGATTCAAGAAGTGCCTTTTTAATTGGATTGTGCTTCATCTTCAAAATATGCCAAGGTAGAAAAAGCCATTAAATTTCTCAGGCATTAATTATTTTGTGTTCTAAATGTTAAACAATAAATTATTTTATATTGCATTTTATTTAAAAAGCTCATTTTAATTAAAATGTTTCTTTATTAAATATAATAGTAATTAAGGAAGGATACTTTAATTTTGAAGGTGGAAATGACATTTGTAACGTTTCCTTGATAACACTGGTTTATTTTCGCTTATGGTAAGTGTTTCTTTCTTTTGAAGTATTCTTATTACGTAATAGACAATACTCGAATGCCCCTCCTCCCCAACGCTATCACACCCACTTCTGGAACAACCCAAGGATGGAATTGTTTACAAGTGGTGTGCACAGCTTTATTGCGCAGGCGCACATATCACGTGTTTGTTTCCGAAACCCAAACAAACACGCAGAGCGTTTGATGACGTTGTAGGAAGTGGATGTAGTTGACGGGAGTGCGGTTGCGTGTATTTACCGGTAGGCAATTTAGTTAAACTTTTATCTGTATTTTAACAGCATTCTTGTGTACCTGATTCACACATTTGACTGACATTAAAGACTGACGTTCCTTCAAAATGATGGAGCAAGAGGTTTTGAACGGCCACGATGCCGAAATCGTGCCAGATGAAGACCAAAATGGCGTCGCAAATGAAGTTTCTGGAACTGCCGGTGCCGAAGGCATAAATAGTTCGGACTCAGTGTCTGTTGAACATAGAATTAAACGGAAAGCAAAGAGACTTATAAAGCAACTGAGTAAGGAAGTTGTTACTGTAGGTGCTACCACAGTACAGGGCACAAGGCTTTTGAAGAACAGCCGAAGACCACGGAATGGATTCGGGAGGGGACTGCCAAAGAAAGGTATGTGTAGATGCGTTACATTATTACATGTTTGTAAGTAGAATAAAATGAATTGTTAGGGTATGCAAGCCATTTGCCTCTTTCTCACCACGTTTCCGAAGTAGCTATCCGTTCCGTCGCTCACAATCTTCATGAAGTACCTTCTCGATAAGCTTGTTACTAAGTGTATTTGTTTGCTTTATGTTCTTTTATTAGAATTTGAACGTGCGACATTTCAGGAATTTGTTGAAAATGTGTTACAAAATAGCTGTACTGTTAATAATTGTAGACTTAACGGTAAAACGCCTTTTGTGAACTGGTATAACTAAGGTTTCAGCACATTTGTTTTTAGTGTTACATGTGTGCTGTTAGTCGTACAGTGTGTGTATCTAACAGGCTCACACAATTTTAAAGAGGCACATGCCTTAACGACGAACAAGTACAGTTTTCTGTAATGTGATTAGATTTTCCGGTAATTGGTAATACGACGAAATATACAGTTTTTTACGATATCACAGTCTGGGTCTGAATTTTGTTTAAATCATATGGTACATACTGTAGGATTGTTTACATAGATATGTTATGTTAACTCCCACTTTAAGCTGTGAAAAGTGAGAATGTTTGGTTTTTACAGTCAGTAAAATTTAGTCACATTACTGTAGAAAATTGCAGCAGTTCAGCAGTAGTGCTCTTATATATCTATCAGGTGTAAAAGTATACATACTTTAATTTTTGTATTAAAATGAAAGTTTGGGATCTTATACATAGCTCTTATGTGTTTGATGCACTGCTGGACAGAGGAAGAATAGACAGCCTGGTTGAGGGTATACATAGTATGGGTCACATAAGACAACTTTAACCAAGATATGGCTTCTTATGCTGTTCACCAGCATCCCAAAACTGTAGTTGAGGATTTCCATTGTTTTGTTGAAGTATTTTGTTTTTTATATTAATACAAGAATGTAATTTGTTTATCTTACCTGATTGAGTCTGACATATATTTATGCCCCTGTTGCAGGTTCCATTTTGAGTAAATTACTAACAGTAGGTCAGGTTTAAACATATCTGATCTAAACATTCTGTACCTTATAAGTTTACAAATTTATCTATGTATATAGTGAAAAAATTAAATGCCCTGTCTCTGTATAAATAGAAGGCTTGCTTTAATGAAATAAATAGATAAATGTGTTATACATGGAGTGTAGGTTATATGTTCCAGCGAAAAAAATGTCATCATCATACCTTTGCATTGAAGCCTTTGGTAGGAAGTGTGTATCTTTTACTTATACAATTGTGTTAAAAGGATGGCCCATCCCCTTGAATGACAAAACTGAATTTATAGTTATAAGAACTTTTTAGGTGAAATTTATTGTATTATTGGAATTGTTAATTGAACATGTGTGGTGCTGGATGCATCAAGAAACTATTAATGCAAGGTGTTAAGATATGCATAACTGTTAACAGTTTCATTAATTCAACTAATTTTACTTATTTGTATTCTTTGATATCTATAATTTCTATTTAATATTATGTGAATGGGCTGTTCTTTTAATATAGCTGTGAAAGTATTGTAAATTCTTATTTCTGTAACATGTTTTGTGTAAAGGTCTGATGGTGCCAAATAATCCAGCCTGTACTTATGTATAAAAGGCTATTGTTTGATGACCTGAAATATAAATCATCTCTGTAATTGGAAACCATGGCAGCGTGCCACAATTAAAATTAAAAGTATCTATACTGATCTAACTAACAAGACTCCAGTGTAGGATCATGTTCCTTTTGCTCCCTGTTCCTTTCCCAGGTAGGATCCTTCTTTTGTATATTTGTCTTCTGCCATTAATTTTGACAGTTGTCATTAAATCATGCCAGAATATTGAATTTGAGTGTCATTTTTTTTGTCAAAATCTGTAGGGCTGGCAGCTGACATTTCTACTTCCGGCACTTTATAAGACTATGAAAAGATGTTATGTGATTTATAAGGCATGGTATGTAGGTGCCATTGAACTGCTAATATTCTAATATTCAAGGTATAGTAGCTACATGTGAAAGATAATGGTCACTTTCAAGGCAAACATGTGCAACAAAATGTCATTTCATTGAACTGTAAGTAGGTCAGCACTTATAAAATCTGACATTTAACTACGGTCTTCTGGTTTTTAATGCCATGCAGACTTGAACTAACATTTTGGAGGAACATGCTGCCTCCTTCTTCAGGCCTTTAAATGCGGGTAGTATGTATATTCCTCCAAAATGTTCGTGGCAACCTGCAGATCCCCATGGTCAAGTGACCTTTGACTGTTCCCCACCTTATATGTTATGAAAGGACACAAATGCATTTAATCTTTTAATTACCAATGTTTAATTTTCACTTAAGGCACATGATCTGGTAATTTCGTTTCATCCGGAGATGTTTGAGAAATCAAAATGTCTGTTTAGTAGTGCCATAGAACTTTTTTTTATTGAATTTAGGTAAGATGGTTTCTGCAATTACTGTAAAATGTTGAGATTTCCTGAAATGTCAGGCATATCACCAGGGAGTATTTGTCTGTACCACTTGAGGAAGATCAGCTTAATCAGCTTCCTTCCATTCATAGCTTAAAATTGCTTGGCTGTGTCATGAAAAATAATTTTTATTTGTGTTTAGATTAAAGGGATTCTGGGCCCTTCCTTTGTTGTGGAGTTATACCCTGTTCTGATCCAGTTGGGGAGGGAATCATGAAAATTGTTAGGTGTGGTGTAGGTATATGGTGGACTAATTTTTACATCTGTAAAGTGCCAATAGTAACACATCACTTGGATTTATTGCTGCTTGCCTGAGGTCATTGTTCGCTGCTGGGGAATTACTTTCACTTACTCTAGCCTTGACATGAATTTTCTCTTTTCTGTTCCCCATCTCAGACCAATGTCCAGTATGAGTAATGCCACTGTCCTTATGCTTCACCACTTCACTACATAAACGTGCTGTAATTTTAGGTCATTACTCTGTTACATTGGTAGTAATGATGTTAGT